AGCACGACCTGGGATAGTTTTCCATCGGTTAATCGCACCAAACCAAGAACAACCGAGCTTGATTTTGAACGGATCTTCGAGGGTGACGTACTCTAAACCTTAAATTAATAGTTTGATTCAATTGTATTGTGTTTCTAGTTCAAGATCTGAGATTGATTCGTGATTTTCAATTGGTTTGTGTCTGGTATATTGAGATTTGGTTCTAAGCTTTCCTAGCCCTGTTGTGTGTTCGATTTCTCCATTATTTGTGTGGTTTGAATCTGAGTTTGCAATTATATTAGTCAAAAATGTTGTTTGAATAAATTCAGATGGATATTCTCTACTCTGATATGAATAGAAATGTGTAGGTTTGCATTACTTGGTTTGATGTGTGGGTTTTGAAGCAAATCCTTTACCACTGAAATTCATAAACTTATTTTCTAGAAGTATGAATTGAAATAAGGAAATCTATGTGTGAGTCTGAATTACTACTGAGTTTTTGTGCATTGGCATTGGTGGTTTTCTTGCTGCATTTTGGTTTTAACTTAGCATCAGAAGACAATAAGTTTTTTTTATTACTTTGGCAATTTATTGCAGATTTGGTTGTATTACTGGGCTTGATCTTTGGAGAGTCCACACAAATTGATGGTTGGTATTGCGTAGAGCACCCTTGGATATGCTTGAGCTTTTTAGGGTCAAAGTATCTACTATTATTATCAATGGTTAGTTAGGTATTTTACACGTGGTTTGGTTGATGTTGGTCTTTGAATTTTCGGAGGGCTTTGGTTCGGTCCTCCCCTTTTGCTTTTTATTTACTTTTGTTGAAAAATATATTAATAAGCATTTTTATTAATGATTTAAAGATTTTGATTGATGAGACATTTTTAGACCACTATAAATAAGTTTTTTTTGAAATTGTTTGTAGATGGGCAACGTAAGGGAAACAAGAGACAAAAACAAACTCAAAGGAGAATAGAGACCTACGAAAATATTATGTCAGCGTGGCACAAGGTATTTTTGATAGTTTGATAATAAAATTCTTGTTTAGTTTTCTTTATGATACAAGTGTGTATGTAGAATGTGATAGTAGTAATTAGTTTTCAAACAGAAAGTAATCTTGTTTTGGCCTATTATGAAAGGTAGTCCTCTGATTTTTTTTCTTGGGATGGAAGTGGATTTCCTTGTTCTTGTGCTATTTTTTTATGTATTACTCGTAATTATTTTTCTCCATTTTAAATTATTGCATATGCATTCAATGGACATATTTTAATTAAAATGTTTTTGTTTATTTACATACAGGATAGCGAGGATAGCGAGTGTGATGATTTCAAGAAAAAATATGAACAAGAAATATATGTTAGTGCGGAGCAGAAAAATATGTTAGTGCAGAACAGGATAGGGTGGAGCAGAGATTGTTTGGATATCGTTTCCCCCGTAGAGGACGGAGCTCATGGCGATGGAAGTACACCGATATGTTAGTTAATAGTTTAAATTTTTAATGTACAATAATAGATATTATTATTGAGATGTTTGAAAAGTACATGAAGTTTTATTTTGTTTATAGAAAATGTTGAAATTCTTGTTTTGCGGAATACATGTGTTTGAGTATGTTTGAGTATCCCCGCTACATTTGATAGTTAAGTTGGTATGAAATTGAGCATGCACGTAGTACACCGTGGTTCTTTTCAGCTTCTCCAACGGAACAGCCCGTTGCACTCAAGATGTTACTATTTTTATGGAAATCTTAGCAATGGAAAATTTGTTGCATTTTTCTGATGCAATATTTTGCAACGGAAAAAAGAGTTGCACAATTTCGTTGCATTATGTTGCAACTAAATTTCCATTGCAAACATTAGCAACGACATTTCCGTTGCAATTCTTCTGTAGCAAAATTCTGCAACAATAAATTTTGTTGCAAATTTCCGATGCAATGCTCTGCAACGGAAAATCTGTTGCAGAAAATGAATTTGCAACAATGGTTTTTGCAACGGCAAATGTGCAACGGAAAATCTGTTGCAATCAGCATCAGCAACGGAATAATACAAAAATTGCAACAGAAATTGCTGTTGCAATTCCGTCTAATTCTTGTAGTAATAAGGTTAAGTTTAATAAAGTGCTTCTATATATGGTGCATTTTGAGTACATATTATTTTTCTGCACCTTCTCACATAAAAATTACTTCCTCCGTCCCACAAAGTTTTACACATTTTGACTTAAGTGGAAATTAAAGGAGGGATAATTTTGTGTTGACTTTCCAAAAATAACCTTGATTCGATGTGTAAAGGTAGGATGTGATGTGTAGATTATAAGAAAAAAAGTATGATGTGATATGTAGGATTTGAAAAAGTAAGAGGTAAAAGTGGTTTTTTAATAAAAATGGGTAGGAAATTGTGGGATGCAATTTTTTTGAAAGATGTAAATCTTTTTGGGACGGAGGGAGTAATATTTTTATTTAAAAATATATACTTAATTATTTAAGTAGTAAGAAAATACTTATTTTGCTTAAATGTAGGTCCATGGTGGACTTTAGATCCATCATATTATTTGACAGTTTAATAATTTATTTGTATAAATTTCATTCACTCCATAGAACAAAAGAAATGATTTAGATTTTTAGAGAGAAGAGTATCCACAGAAACATTGCAATTATTTTCACAAGTTAATAATCAAATAGCCCTCTTGTTGTGTGAGAAATCAACACAAACAAAACTCAAAATCCATGCATCTAAGGTCGAAGATAAATAACCGATGTAACCTAGCTAGCTAGCTACTTTTTTAAAATGGGGCACTCTTTTAATTTATGAATTAATTATTGCTCATCAATTCATTGCTCATTATTAATTTAATAAGGCCTGTGCATGTGTGTATAAATTACAAAAATGAAGGAAAAGTGACTCATTACTTTCAATTACTTCAAGTTCATAAAATAAAGTATTACATCACTGAGTATAGATGAGAGATTAACATATAAGAGTGCCATTAGCTTGGAAGAGGTGACATCCCTTGTATTGAGGCTGGTTTTTAACATTGCAACAATTTTTACAGACGTCCTCGAACAGTGTATCATTAGGTGGGCAACGCATATAGGCAACTATAGGGTTGCAATAATCAGGGCAATAAATCTCATCAGCATTAACTCGAACACCATTCTCTGATATCAAAATACCTGATATACAAAAGTTACATATGTAATAAACCAACACATCAAATATTTTTGTTGACAAGCGAAAATTTCGAAATGAAAATTTGAAGTTTTAGCACTCCTTATGTGAATAGTTTTTGTAAAGGAGGAAATTAATAAAAGGAGCAGGGGAGTACGTTATTCCTAAAACCAATTATAAACAGTTATAAGAACTTTTGTGTATAAAATTTTAATCTTATTTACGTGGATTTCTTAAATTCTTAACGTATAAAGAGTAAGCATTTATAAATAAAAAAAATTGTGGACGAAGATAGTACGTAGATGAAAGGGTTTAAGCTACATATTTATATGGATATAAGTTACATGGTCTCTTCTCCTATCATAGGGGATGTATACAGTGATAAATAATAATTTAAATATAGTGACATAAAATAACATAAATATAGTGATAGCAAAATATTTTAAATATGTACTCCCTCCGTTTGGAAAAATCCTTCCCATTTGATTTGGGGGCAAAAATAAGGAAGTGTTAAATTATAGTTGATTTCCAATTTTGCCCCTGATGTGATGGGTAAAAGTAAGATGTGATGGATAGATTATTAGAGAAAAAGTATGATGTGATAGGTAGGGTATGAAAAAGTAAGGGTAAAAGTGGTTTTTTAATAGAAAGGGAAAGTGTTTTGTTGGAAGTGGAAAAAATGAAAGATGAAGTGTTTTATTGAGAACGGAGGGAGTAAGAGAATGAATGGACGTACCAAAGACAACCAAGAAAGTGAAAAGGCAAACTTTGTTGTATGCTTCCATATTACCAATTTATCAATTGGAATAATAATATGGAATTGTTTACGTTGTTGATAGTATATGTATACCAATGAGTTACATGCCCCTATTTATACATGTAAGAAGATAAATATAATCGAAACAAATATAGAAACAATCCAACAAGGAAAAAATATTGAAAAGAATAAGTGTTATACCTTTTTTATTAATTACAAGGAGCTTTAATTTTATGATTAATGCCATGCGTAAAATATACTCTCTCCGTTTGGAAAAACCCTTCCCATTTGATTTGGGGACAAAAATAAGGAAGTGTTAAATTATAGTTGATTTCCAATTTTGCCCCTGATGTGATGGGTAAAAGTAAGATGTGATGGATATATTATTAGAGAAAAAGTATGATGTGATAGGTAGGGTATGAAAAAGTAAGGATAAAAGTGGTTTTTTAATAGAAAGGGGAAGTGTTTTGTTGAAAGTGGAAAAAATGAAAGAGGTATTGTTTTTGAGAACGGAGGGAGTAATTCATTTGCAAAAAAGTACTTTTTGAGATCATAAATTTCCATGTTTCATATAAGGAGCTTTAATTTTTGTTTAGTTGCTAAAACAAAAATTAAATTTCCATGTTTCATATAACTACATTTCCTAAGTAGCAGATTAGCAGGTGCCTTGAATAATAATCCGTGTTCATTTACTATATATGGAATATATTTTTGAGAAATTTACCTAAATAGAACTAAAACATAATGACTTTCCCAATATAGGACCATATGTTTTTATTTTCCAATGTAAGACCTTTGGTCATTATCAAGTAGTCAGTATTCACCTAAATGTCCATCATTGCTGGACATTATTCCTTCCACTAGGTTATTATTAAGTCTTATTTAGGGAATAAAAAAGTTTAAGTCCTACATTAGAAAAGTTATTATGTTTGTATCCTATTTAGTGCAAATTTCACTATATTTTTTTGTTACTCAAATTTTGATGTAAACGCACCAAACGTGTGCATGAACTTTGTTAGGTACCCTTCCTATCCAATAGTGTTACGTGATACGGATAGTTAAGTTTGTGCCGTTTTGATTTTTTACGTTTATTAAAATCAATGTTCGATCTATGATTAAATAAAAATTACATGGCGGAAACTCATATATATGAAGTTATCTATTTTACGTTTGTGAAATTATCTATTACAGAGTAGATAATATATCCCACACTTTGAAATGTATAAAACTCTTTATTAAAAAAAAATCAAAAGTACATTAAAATGAAGAAAGATAAAAAAAAATTGAAAAATGAAAGTGTAAGCAATATTTATAAAATTTAGTTTAATTTATGCTTCGTATTTCACAAACAAAAGAGCTAGAGTAAATGATAAGAAAATAGTATTTCAAATGTTTGTTAATTTTTTTATATTCATGTACAAAAAATTAAAATTTAAATACATGATATTTAAATAAAAGATTATTTGTAATTCATCTACGCTTCAACCAACTTTTAAAAATCAATTCATTATTTTATGAAGAAATATAAAAATATTACTCCCTCCGTCCCGTAAAGTGTTACCCATTTTGACTAAAGTTGAAATTAAGGGAGGGATAATTTTGTGTTGACTTTCCAAAAATACCCTTGATGTGATGTGTAAAAGTAGGATGTGATGTGTAGATTATTAGGAAAAAGGTATGATGTGATAGGTAGGGTTTGAAAAAGTGAGGGGTAAAAGTGGTTTTTTAATAGAAATGGGTAAGGGATTATGGGACGCAATTTTTTTGAAACGTGTAAATCTTTTTGGGACGGATGGAGTATTATTTTTATAACATATTTGTATACATGTTCGATTCAAGATATTTCAGTATGGGAAGTTATCTCGTATCGATACCAAATACCGGACCGACAATTCGGTTTAGTACGATATGATTCTTTTTCGGTACTTTATCGATTTGGTATTTTTTTGACAATCTCAGTTTTTTTAGAAAATTTTGAGATCAATTTGGTACTTGCTCACCCAATAAGTGTTTGGGTAGGAAGCCCAGTTCTTGGTTTTTATGCATGCTTTTCCCCACAAGAAGTGTTTGGCTCGTTAGGCCTTGACCCAGAGTCGCTTATTCATTTCAACGCTAGATACATTTTTAAGAACATTACCAAAATGAATTCTTAATAAGGAAGTGAATCAAAGTCTGATTGAATTAGAAATCACACTTTTGAGATTTATTGTTATCATATTCACTTTTTAAATTTATTGTTAGCGTGCAAAATTCAAATTGCGTCCAAAAAATCCATCAAGCATGCATTTTAATTTCTTTTTAAAAAATAAAATAAATTATGCATTTAAAAGCACAATATATACATCGTTTGAAACACATAATTAGTAAATGAGGCTATGGAAACTAAAAAATTTACTCTTATCAACTTTTAAATATAAATTTTATTCATGTAATTGAAGGAAAAAAAACATTAAAACAAAACATACAACCCAGCCAATGGGTTCTTTATGACTAAGCACTTATTTAGTTAGAAAATAATACGAGTAATATAAATAAACAAATAAAAGAGAAAGAAGGACAAATTAATTACGAGTAATAATTAATTCCTATCGGCTGCAGACTTGGCGTTGGCGGAGTGGAGGGTGGTGGGGTTGGCGGGTCCTCCGGCGGCGCCGAAGGTGTTCTTGACGGCATCCGCCGCGCCTTGAGCCACATTGGCGGCGCCGGTGGCGGCACCCCTCGCCATGTTCACCGCACCTGAAATTGCTCCCTTCCCAATGTCCGCTGCCCCTTGAGCCATCGTCTTCACGTTCTCCCCTGTCTTCGATCAAGTTTATATATGAAGTTTTAAAAGGAATTTAAACCAATAAAACAATCCACCAATTCAAGAAAGCTCATTTTAGATTTCATCGAATTGTATACTACTCCATATGCGTGTATTTGTCCTCTTAAACTTTTTCAAGTCAAACTGGACAAATTTTGAGATTCAATTAAATAAAAACTGTAATACTTGGTCCGTCTCTGAGTGTTTGTCTACTTTTGTCTTTTGACTTTTGGAACTGTTCATCTAAGCACTTTGACTCATCAAATTCTCTCAATGTGTAAGCCTAAAAATAGTCATGTGTGATCTTGTTTGATTCGTCTTAACATATAGATTATTAATATATAATTTTTATAATTTTTTAATATACAAATTACAAGATAAAATGGATTAAAGAAGTGCATTGGATGGTGTGAAAAAATGAAAGTAGACAAACACTCAGGGACGGAGGGAGTATTTTAACAAAAAGTAATTTTATTGAATTTATCGTATTAAAAACTTTCAAAATTGTATTACATTATGCTAATATGCAATATAAATTGAGAGTAATCAGAGTTTAAAGTTTTTCCAGTTTGACTCAAAAAAGTCAAACCGGACAAACACACTGGGACGGAGGTAGTACTCCTTTCTCTTATTTCTTGTCCTACAAACAATTTTTCTTTTTTATTAAAAATCCAATTTTACCCCTACTAAATTTACGATACCTATCACATTCTACCTTTTTATTATTACCTCCGTCCTAGAGTATTTGTCCACTTTCATTTTTACACACCATCCAATGAACTTCTTTAATCCATTTTATCTTGTAATTTGTATATATTAAAAATTATAGAAATTATATATTAATAATCTATATGTTAAGACAAATCAAACAAGATCACACATGACTATATTTAGGCTTACACTTTGAGAGAATTTGATGAGTCAAAGTGCTTAGATAAACAGTTCCAAAAGTCAAAACTGGACGAATACTCCGGGACGGAGGAAGTAATAATCTATCCATCACATCAAATATATTTTTGGAAAGTCAACACAAAAAAATCTCTCCCTTAAATTTTTAAAAATTCAATGATAGAAGAACTTTAAGGGACGGAGGGAGTATTACTTTATACTTCTTCGGTTCCATAAAGATATTCCCGTTTTGACTTTTTGAAAAATTTAAAAGAGAGATAATTTTGTGTTGACTTTTCAAAAAATATTCTGTATGTGATGGGTAAAAGTAAGATGTGATGGGTAGATTATTAGTAAAAAATGTATGATGTGATAAGTAGCTTAAAAATTAGTAGGGGTAAAAGTGATTTTAAATATAAAAGGAAAAAATTTTGTGGGACAAAAAAAAGGGAAGGAAAAAGAGTTTTTAGAAGGAAGGAGGTTTTTTTTTTCATGTCAATTTTCAAAGAAAACAAAGAATTTTACATTGCTACTCGAGATGAGTCAGCTTCCGACTTAATTACGTGAAATTATTATGACTAATGTGACATAAGACATTAATAATGAGTTGGTTTTTTTGAAATGCTTCAAATCTCTAAGATTTATTTGTTTTATTCTTATGATATGGAAAAAAGACAATGGTCAAAACAGTTATATGCATGTACGTGAAGAAACATGTTACAATAAATTTGTAAAACTTTTTCTGGAGATCAATAAAAAATACTCCGTATGAGTTTTTGGTTGAGATGATTTTTTGACGGTATGTAATTAGAATTGATATGAAAGAGACAAAAAAAATCACAAGTATAATCATATGTTAGATGTTACCTCTTGAAGGAAATTGGTCTGGCCTGCAGCATGGACGTTGGATGGTTGGTCCACGAGGCTATCGTTCGCTTCTCTTCTCATCTTCAATTATATATATATGTTTCACAAACAAATCATTTAAGTTTAATATATAGCGAGCCCAAAATAAATTTAATCAAAATTCAAATATTAGAATACTCCCACCATTTTCAGATAAATTCTACAATTATTACATACATATTTTTTATATTTATCAGTTTCCTAAATACCCCGGAGAAATATAATATGCATGTGTTAATTAAGGACTCGTTTCATCTTCCAATCATTAAAGATATTGTAATACGGAATACATTTTAATTTTTTATCTAAAACACTACCGCTAATTGAAAATGATATTTCTAAATAAGAGCATGATAGTACCTGAGCCTCGCCAGGAGCCTGGAGGGAATTGTTTTGGCTTGCCATTTATCCAAAATTTCTTAATAATTTAACAATATATTTGAAGATATATATGTAATGTGATGATCAAAAGATGAACTTATTAAAGCTTTTATTTTTCATATGGGAAAGAATAGAGTGACATATATATATATATATATATATATATATATATATATATATATATATATATATATATATATATATATATATATCCGCATACGTTTAGTATAACCCCAAATATTTACCGCAATGCAATCGTGTGTTCACACGTGGCATATAGAGGAAATCACTAGATCCGCAACAAAAGGTGTTTCAATCAAACGGAAACAAGTAAAAAACAAAGAGAGGCTAGTAGTAGTTCATTTGATCTTGATCTTCAATATTCATTTCTTTTTTATTTGGTAAACATTTAGAGATAGAGGGTGTATATCTTACGGAGTATTTAATATTTAATTAATTTTTCATTTTATTTTTCATTATCTTCAATGGAACACTTGGATTATTAATATCCAAAATTAAATTTTTCAAAACTATATTTCAAAATAAATCTATTAGTATTAAATTTATATAAAAGCTGAATGTATATATTCCGTGATATGTGGTCAGAAAAAATTTGACTATGAAAATTAAATTGGAAAGTTAATTTTAGGAGAAAAGGGCCACCTTCGTCCCAAATTATTTCTTGTAGTTTGAATTTTATAATAACTTTAACTATAAATTGTAAGAAAAATATATTTGTATTTAATTACAAGATGTTGCTAAATTTACTCTTTCTTTTGCTAAATTCACACCTTTTATAAGAAATGGACACATTTATCTTTAAATGTAATATTAAAGAAAGGCAACATTTGGACTAACCTAGGGCCTGTTTGGGAATAGCGTTAGAGATTAACGTTAGCGTTTTGTATAAAATTTCAACGGTGCAGATCACTTTGAAAACGCTAACGCTAAACGCTGCCCGTAGATAGCTTTTTCAAAACGCTAACGTTATTCCCAAACAGGCCCCTAATAATTAAGAGTAAATTCGGACATTTGTCATAAATGAGGTCATTTAGCAAAAAGAAAAGTAGATTAATTTAATATAATTGGGTTGGTTTTAAGACGTAGTTTTGTACATCAATTTTTTATTACATTTATTAAGTTTTTGGAAAACTTTTGTTTACTCATGTGTTTTCATTTAGGAAACAAAGTCAAATGATTTGGGACAAGTTGAGTATGTGATAAAATATACTCCGTAGTTGTGATATTGTGGTCTTTAAATCCTCATGTAAAATGTAAAGCATCTCACATATTTTCAAAGGGCTCATACTTCCTTGGATCTTCTTAAATTTACAACGCATGTCATATAAATTTAGCATGGACCTAATAATGTAACTTGCAAAAAGAATTTTTATTATGGACGGAAAGAGTACTCTTTTATTTGCAGTTGTGAGGAAAATGCTTAACACGCTATTCTGAATAATATGGATAATATATATATATATATATATATATATATATATATATATATATATATATATATATATATATATAATCCAGTGAAAATGTGATCTAATGAAATAAATAAGAATGCATCTTGTGTATTAGATGTAAGATGTAAAGGCTTTAAAAATTCAAATAAAAACTGAAAAAATCTGAAAATGTGGTGGCATTATGGTAAACAAGTTGAACTTAACTCCCAGTGACGAAAAGCACTACCACAATGTAAAAATGCATCGTGATGGTATAAAAATACATTATTTTCACGATAGGTTCTATTCTCACCGTAAGAATCATTCTCACTTGAAACAACCCCTATATATTCAATGAGACCAATTATTATCAAAATGTATTATGCTATCGGAGCTAAGTTCTCTTTTTTAAAAAGCCTAGCTCTTTTCTTTCGACCGTGCGCCACCGCCAGTCTTCATCATCGACGGTCAACCGCCACAAATCATGGTCTTGTTGTCCCTTATCCCTCCATTTCTCTCAAAAAAAAATTATGAATGTGCATAACAACCAGCTTCATTGTCCCTTATCTATCTCACTGTACTCCTCTCCAAAAAAATATTTGTGCGTGATCGAAAAACTAAAAAGGTACATTTGTGTGCGTTTTACTTCTAGAGCTCGAAAGCATGGAAAGTGATTGAGAAGCATACAACGGCCAACAAGGAGAAAAAAAGAAGAAACTATGTGCCCTCACTCCAATGGCCAATACTCTCATCTGAAAAAACTCAGTCAACGTACTCTTAACCAGTCTCACTATAAAATATTTAAATTTGAACTGGGAAAAAAGTTCAAATCCAATCATCTTAATTTAAATGAAATCGAATTAAACCGGGTCAAATTTGTATATACTAAAATTTGAATCAAACCAGATTCGTTGCGATCCTAGCTAAATAATCTCTTCGTCTCGAATTAATCGTCTCACTTTCGTTTTCGGTCTGCTCGAAAATCAAATATCCCATTTCTTTACTTTTCTATTAACGCAATGAATAACCTGTACATAATCTTTCTCTTTTCTGTAATTGTGTGTTTGGAAACAATTACAATTTTTTGAGTCAAATTCTTCCCATTCATAACAAAGCCTAATTTAAAATCCATGCACCTCCCCTTGTCATTTGAAATTTAAAATTTAAAATTTTGGAATTGAAATGCATGAATTGAAATGAAATGCTAGTTGTCAAATACTACCTAAATAAATTTTAGTAATTTAGTTTTATTTTTTCATAAATTTTGTAAAATAAAACTCAGATTATTAATTAAGAATCCAAGAATAGCTTAATGGAATGCACCGCCAAGGGGATAGAATTATGGATAGAATGGTGAAGGGGTCACCGGGAAACCTTGCGATAACACGTGTCCATGACACGCATCACATACGAAGACACGTGGCAGCTCCATGACAATCCTCTCATACTATAAAAGGAAATAACCTAAAATCAAAAAAATTTCACAACTATTTAGAATTTGTCTTCTCACTACTATATATATTTCGAACAAACAAACAGAACCTTAGAAGTCAGTAGTTCATCTTCATAATTTGGCAAGTTTTTAAAGTTGCAAAAATGGCTTCCCAAGAGCATAGCTACAGAGTTGGCGAAACCAAGGGCCGTACTGAGGTATTTATATATTCCGTATATATTATACGGAGCATTTCTAAACAAATAATTTTAGTATTTCGTATTATTGACTCGTTACTTTTGGCGTTAGATGTTCGTTGGTGTCAAATCGTTGTATGACATCAAGATATTTGGACATTTTGGTCTCATATTATGACATCGAGGGCTTTTATATACTCCTTCCGTTTCATAAAACCCTTCCTCTTTCGTTTTTTCTAATTTCTTAAAACACTTCCACTTTTTATTAAAAAACCACTTTTACCTCTACTTTTTATACCCTACCTATCATATCATACTTTTTCACTGATAACCAAACTATTACATCTATTATTTTTACTCATCACATCAAGCGTAAAATTAGAAAATCAATCAAAATTACACTTTCCTTATTTTGGCCCAAAGTCAAAATAGGAATGGTTTTAAGGAATCATGATTTTGAGTAACACTAAGGGGGTGTATTCAATTTGGATTTTAAAAGATTTTGATAGATTTTTTAAAATTCATGGATTATGTAAATTCATTGGATTGTTTTAAATTTACGTAGAGTTAGCTAGATTCTAATGTATTCTATCATAAGATTTTATAGGATTATGTTTTTCTTTTTTTCTTTTTTTTTTCTTTTCTTTTTTCTTTTTCTTTTCTTTCCTTTTTTTTCCTCCTTCCCCCAAGAACCCTAGCCGGAGTAGCCGCTTCTTCCATCTTTCAAGAATGAGTCGCCGCTGGGGAAGGATGAAACGCCGCCGGGGAGAGCATCCGGGGAAGGATGAGTCGCCGCCGGGGAAGGATGAGTCGCCGCCGGGGAGAGCATCCGGGGAAGGATGAGTCGCCGCCGGGGAAGTATTCAAAGCGAGAATCCGAAGAATGACTTCCGTTTGCTCTGCCACATCGATGCTGCCGGCGGCGTCATCGGGAACAGATCCAATTCGAGAAACCGCTCATCAAACGGGATGCCAGATCCAGTTCTGCCAGATCCAATTCCGCGAATCAGGATGCCCGAGCAAAACCCATCGGTTATACTTCTTCTGTTGGGAAAAAACTCTTCTACTCAAGAACCCCTTCTTCCTCTTCTTCTAACTGCCTTCCTCTTCTTCTAACCGGCTCTTTTAGGTGACGGCTTACTCTTCTTCTAACCGGCTCTTTTAGGTGACGGCTTACTCTTCTTCTAACCGGCCCTTTTAGGTGACGGCTTACTCTTCTTCTAACCGCGAGAAAATCCACTGCCGAATGAGAAGAAGATTGGCCGGGAAAATCCACTGCCGAATGAGAAGAAGATTGGCGGAGAATGGGGGTTTGGTTGGACTCTTGAAAATCCACTGGGGTTTGGTTGGATTTGCAAAAGACTTTTTTATTTATACTTCAAGCTAAAAATCCATCACAATCCATTTTATATAACAATCCTTAAAAATCCATCAATTTTTCAATACCATTAGATTTAGAAAGATTTTTTAAAATCTCAATTGAATACCTCTAGATTTTAAATTATTTTTTAAAATCCCAATTGAATACCCACTGACTTTTAAAATCCAAAAAAATCCTGCAGAGTTTGGATTGAATACACCCCCTAAAAGTTAGTCAAAAGAATCGTGATTCTGCGTTTTTGTCATTTCCTATTTCTGTTAGAGCACTTTGTTTGGCTTTTTTCTTGACAAACTAGACAAGTTTTAATGATCAGTTAAATAAAATATATGTTGTTACAAAATTGATTTAACACAACTGATTTAAGAATTTTTTTAAAAAAATTATTTTATTATATTTTACCCACAAAATTAGTACTTATGCAAAATAATGTTCTCGTTTAAGTTTTTAGGGCAAAATTGAAAAAAATTGACAATAAAATTCGAAAAAAATATAATAAATTTGATCTCATTTGATTTGTCTATGATTTTTGTTTATAGCGTCACACTCAAAGATAATCTGATTCACAAAAATAGAAAATAATTTTGGAACAAAAGGGCTTGTTTTTAGTAAATGGACCAACTTCAATGTCAATTTGTATTGCATCTTAATCCAAATTATTTGATCCTTCTTGTACATACAGGAGAAGACGGGACAAGCGGTGGAAGGAGTGAAGGAGAAGGCGCAGGCGGCGAAGGACAAGGCGTCAAGCATGGCGGGGAGCGGCGCCGGGAAGACCTCCGAGGCGGCGCACGGCGCGAAAGACAAGACCGCCGGAGCGGCGCAGACGGCGAAGGAGAAGGCGGAGAAAGCGGCGGCGGCGGCGACGGACGCCGTGAAGCACGCGTTTGGGATGGCGGAGGAGGATAAGGCGGGCGGCGCCGGACGCCGGGAATAGGAGGAGGAGTCTTCAATTAATTAAGTTGTTGTTTGTGAAATTTGTTCTATCTAGCTGTTGTCATTATCTTGCAAAATAATCCCTTTCCTTTCAATAATAATAATACTAATAATAATTCGAGTAATATAATAATTATTCGAATTATGGGATTGTAATAGAATGATATAGCCATGTACTTTTCCCTTTTTTTTTATAAACCTTTGAAAGTAAAAGTTGTGTTACATTTTGAGATAGCAGATATTCCATTCGCCTATTTTGATTATAAATGGTAGAAAAAGAAGGGGGATAAAAATATTTAATTTTATGATAATGTACAAATAAATAAGAATTATGAATCTTGATTTATTTTGAGTAAATATTGTAATCATTTGTGAGTGATTAGTGTTGGTTAAGAAATTTGGTCAAATCTTTAAAATTTTAGATACCATTGGTAAAATTTGTTATCAAATTTTATTTTAGTACAAACATTCCTTTCAAAAAGAAGTTACCGTTACCATTTTGATTTTTCAATAACTTTTATTTTTTTATTTATTTTGGTTGACCATTTTATAAAATAAAATACTATTATCATACCTTATTTTGTAAAAATTTTGATATACTTTTAAACGGTGTAATTTTTATCTTTTATTTCTTTACTAATTTGTAAATACTCCATCCGTCCTATAATGATCTTCCCGGTTCGCAAAACGAAGAAAAATCCTAAGTTTTTTCAATCTATTTTATTTAACTATTGGTATAGAAATAAAAAATAAAACATACATATTTAAAAACTACAGCAAAAGTTCAACAAAACAAGTGGTGACAAGAATATTTTATTTTATCATATATGCCATGAAAAAACACAAATAAATATAAATTTCCGTGAAATTGGAATAGTGCTCTGGGAAGATCATTATAGGACGGAGGGAGTAAAATGTTTTTAAAAAAAATATTATTTTACATATCCTCTAAAATGTTTTAAACAATTTGGGACGGACGGAAAATAAATATTGACAATTGGGTCGATCCAATAAAATATGATGTCTCATGCGATTATGATTTTTTGGGCTCTTCATTTCGGTTTTTGTAACCCAATTTGACGTTCATGACTTTCAAGAAAATGTTTCAGAGTAAAAAGTGCAGGTGTATAATTTGTAAGAATAAGGAATCACCAAAACAAAAATCTGTATAAGCACACAAAATTTGATATTGGAAACTCATGTCATCCCATGACATGAACTTCAATTGAATACTCATACAGCATTTCGTTTGTAAAATTGATCATTTTCTTCCCCTCACCTCAGTTAGTCGCATCCCATATTTGACTTAAAGTTTACAAAATTTGAGAGTTTAATTGAAGTGGGTCTGGGCCAGTCAGATGGAGGGATTTAGTAGGGGTTATAGAAGTCGTCAATTTTACGAATAAGACATTGTAGAGTACTAATTGGAGCTCATATCATAGAATAGTATTGATAATTGGTGTCACCTGAAAGATGTCCCTCATAAAAAGGTACTAGTATCATTAGAAATTTAAACAATTAAGGGAGATAAAGAATACTCTGAAGTTATTGCATGTAATCACCAGAGGAAAATAAAAATTTATAATCGGCCAAACACAAATATTATCACATCGGAGTTCTTTCTGTAAAAATTGAAACACAAGATTAAAAAACAAACTCAATATGTTGTCCCTATATAAAAAAAGCGGAGTTAATTCAAATTCATGTGAGTAATTTCTGTAAAATTAATTAAAAGGTGATACTTGAAAATAAATTTATGCAGAGTATATATTACTAATCTCAATTCCCTTTCATTTGATACTCTAATTTCGAAACAAAGAAGTTGTAATTGTACCTAAGTTGAAAATGTACGTACAGATATCTATTGTCCCGAAGTCTTGACGACTTCCACAAGGCAAATAGAACTAATACCATACATACTGTAAGGTAAAAATTATTCAGTTGAAATTTATATATACTATGTAAATAAAACACAATAAACCACATGATACGTAGAATATAAAGATAAAACAGATGCAATACATGGTGAGAGAGGAACTACTGAATTACACTACCAAAAGAAAACATAATGTGTTGCCTAGAACAAAGATATGAATGAAGACATACCACATTTTTATTTTTAAACTACTAGTAGTAATTAATAATAATTATTATAATAATATTAATAACGAAATTCAATTACACTCATCACTAGAGCAAGCATCCAAACACCCCCTACCCCCTTAGCAACAACTATATATAGAGTGTATGTAGTCTCTTCACTTCTTTGTTTTTCTCTTTATTTCTTATGCCACACCACCCCCATTCTTCAACTACTATGATCATCATTGAGTGAAAGGATTTCACTGTCGCAAACCTTCAAGCCCGAGCCATGCGCTCAACCAAAGACACACCTCGTCCATCTCCCTTGGAACCGTGTAATGCCCCAGCCTAAAAAATCACTCGTCATTTTTCTTATACTCCGTTATAAAAAAGATCAAAACTCCCTCCGAGTCCTAGTTCATCAAGGAAAAATATAAATATTTTTCACACTATATTTAGCACTTAACAAATGAAACTCTTTTAGAACAGCTTATTGGAGAAATGATGTAAAAATCAATATAAAATGCGCCATAGTTTTTTTTAAGACACTATATTTAACACTTAACAAATGAATCTCCCCGTATAAAATACTCTTTTTATATATGACTACTTTTTAAGGCAAGAATAAAGTTTTTTTCGGGGGGGGGGGGGGGG